CGTGGATTGTTCTTTCTGACCTGTGTCTGTTCTTTTCCCCTGAGCCAGTGTGTTGGGTGGTGGCTTCTGCTTGTCCCTTGCTGGTGTTCTCCAGAGTTTTGACAGTAGAGAGGAAAAAAATCTCATGGATCCCAAATCTTCTGGATAAAACATTTCTTTAAAGTCACAAATCTCTCCCACAAGATGACCATGGTTCTTGGTTCTTTGCATAGTAATTAATTTATGATTGAACAAATCATTTCATCACTACATGTCGGAGTCTCCATCTACTAAAGAAACAAAGCTGTGGCTACCAGGTCCCGGATATAAAAAGGAAACGATGACAGAAAGTAGGATTAAGGGTCAGGTTACTTAGGATGCAGTAGATCTCTTGGAGAACGGGCACATAAGAACCACCGTGGCTCGCTGCCTGCAGTAACCCCATCCCTTGGTTCAAGAGGCAATAGGGCCTGACTGAAAGCATGTACAGTCTCTTCCGTTCACGTCCTTGAGCAAGTTACTTCTCTGACCCCCAGTCTCTTCTTCAGTAAAACAGGGGATAATGATCCCTATGATGATAATGTAGTCGTCAGAAGTAAATGAGGTGATGTGGAGCAGGGAGCGGAAAGGTCTGTGCTAGGCGGGAGCCAGATGAAGGCAAGTCCCTCCTCCTTGAAGGCGTCTTCTGGGGTTGGGCTGTTCAAAGGAGATTGTCTGACCGTATGGAGACAAAAGACCTCTTGTGTTTACAATTATTAGGAACCCTGATCATTCTTGTTATGGTTATTAATTTATTAATTGTAAGTAATTAACATCGATGTTAACAGATCAGAGAAAGAAAACAGGGTTATGGTTATTAATTGTAAGTAATTGACGTCAATGTTAACAGATCAGAGAAAGAAAACAGGGTTATGGCTATTAATTGTAAGTAATTAATGTCGATGTTAACAGATCAGAGAAAGAAAACAGCCAGGAGAATGCTTTAACTGTGTCATTAAACAGCCATGCAGACTGGTCTCTGCCAGCCGCGCAGGCCACTGCTGTCCCCCGACCTTCCCTGCTCAGGGCTCTCATCCCATGACAGACCTATAGCATGTGGTCCCCACAGGTCTTTGGGGGATGTATCCTCTTGCGTTGGCTGTAAAGGGACTTGCAGATTGCCTTTCTGCTTTCATTTGTGGTATTTCCACAGCAGATGGGGTGGGTGCTTAATCTCCTCCAGGCTTGTAGGCAAACACCCCTCGCTGCAGTTTCGGTGAGCTGCCTGCCCGGTCACTGGGAGAAGAGGCAGCTGGTCTGGAGCCTGCACTGCCCTGTGAAAGGGGAACTTGTGAATCCTTTGGGTAGGATTGTCCCCCTCATGGGGTATCCCCTGCCTTTCGATGACCTTGAGACATTGCATAAAAACCACTGTGTTCCCAGGTCCCTGGACCTTCTGTAGGTCTCACCTTATCCTGGAAAATAAGGCAAGCTTTCATCATTCAAGAGCAAGGTAACAGCCTAGTTCCCTGATAGACAAGCTGTGGCTCAAGAGCCACATGCGGCTCTTTGGACCTGTGAGTGTGGCTCTTCCACAAAATACCATGGTCTGGGCGAGTCTATTTTGAAGAAGTGGCCTTAGAAGAAGTTTAAGTTTAAAAAATTTGGCTCTCAAAAGAAATGACAATCGTTGTACTGCTGATATTTGGCTCTGTTGACTAATGAGTTTGCCAACCACTGGCCTAGTTGATTGAGGACAGGGTTTTATAACCTTGAGCCTACTACTAGCTTGCTTAGGAGACCCTGGAGAAGAACCTCAACCTCCCTGCCCATCAGTTTCTTTGTCTACCTTTTCCTAAGAGAGGGAAGCTGAAATGGTGTACTTCACAAACCACCACTGTCCTCTCACAGAAGCTACATGGCAGTACACCTGGGGGTAGGGGTGAGGATGGGGGACGGAGTTCAGACTGACAGCTGAGGGGTGGGCAATGCCTCACTAGAACACAGTAATCTTATTTATTCATTTCTAGGTGGAATAGTGGCACTGCTTTAGAATGATGGCCTAGTCTCTGGCATCAATCTGCCTGGGTTCAAATTCCAACTCTATACATACTAGCTATGTGACCTGGAATAGGCTATTTAACCCCTCTTTACACCATCTATAAAACAGTTATTGTGAAGATGAAATGAGTTGAAATATGTGAAGTTCTTGGAGTAGTACCTGGCATACTGATAGCTATTACTAGTATAAATTTCTAGAAAGGAAAGCATGGTGGGTAGAATCAGACAAATCTGGATTTGAGGCTGGTTCTGCCATATAAATTATTAAACTAAATAAGTTTATTAGTATCTCTTTGTCTCAGGTTCATCATCTGGAAAATGGAATAGGTACCAAACCCAGTGTTTTTTGTGAAGAATAATTGAAATGATTTTATGTAAATGCCAAGTATATAGTAAGTGCTCAATACATTTTAACTGTTATTGTATACTAGAGGCCCAGTGCATGAAATTCATGCACTGAGGGGTGGGGATGGGTCCCTCAGCCCAACATGCACCCTCTCCAATCCAGGACCCCTCTGGAGATAACCAACTCACAATCCAGAACCACTGGCTCCTAACAGTTCACCTGCCTGCCAGCCTGATACCCCTAACTGCTCTCCCCTGCGGGCCTGATCACCCCTAACCGCCTCTGTCTTGGCCCCGCCACCATGGCTTTGTCTGGAAGGACATCCAGAAGGTCACCTGGAAGATATCCAGCCTAATTAGCATATTGCCCTTTTATTAGTATAGATTATTATAGAAAACATTTTTATATTGGTTAGAGTTAGGCATCTTAAGTCATGCTTAGTCTGGATATAATAATGATAGAAACAGTAGTACATTGAGGGGCAAAGACTCAGAGCAAAACAGATTTCCTGAAAGGACCCCAAAGGCCCAGAAGGAAAACCTGTTAATAAAGATTATCTTGTTTATGTTGGAGTTCCAGGGCAGGGGAGCTGCCAGCGCCATGCCTGGTGTGTGCAGAACTGTGGGCAGGAGCACTCTGATATAAACAAACAGTGAATTCTTTTGGAGTAGTGATTCCTGGCTTCCTAACTCCTTTTTAGATTTGAACTCCTCTCTTAGAGTGGAGAAAACCTGTTCTGCAAGGATCCTGACCACTTACAAGGCCATTCTGTAAGATGCTGCCGAGAGAGGACTATGAGGGAGGCTCCTCACTGCCATAGCATCACAGACTTCCGGTGGTTACAACTATTCCTGATATTTATGTGCCCGCATCACAGTCTCCCTCTCATGTGGGTGGCAAATTTATTGTCCTCTGACAGTGTGTCCAAAGTATTGAGGGCTTCTGAAAACTATTTGGTAGGAAGGCTACATCACACTTCTAGGCCAGTGGAATTTAACTATTTACCATCCCCAAAGAGTAAGAGAGAACATGAAAACCATGCAAGTTTCTAAGAACAAACACGTCACTGAACTGAAATCAGAAACAGCAAATGTTAGCTCCCTCCTGTACACCTCCTACATTTACCATTTCCTCGTGTCTCATTTTGTTCTAAATGACTCGAGGACACCCAGTGACTTACTGTTTACTTACCCAGAGACACAGTTCAGAGCAACAATAAGGAAGGATTTTCTAAGAATTAGAGTTGTCCCCAAACCCGTAGGTTGCCTTTGAGGAACTGAGTTCCCTGTCACTGAGGATGAGTGTTTTTTGGTATATTTAGCTCCTGGTATTTGTTTGCTGAATGCGTGAATGCATGAAACCCACAGAGGATTTGTGTTTCTTTAGAAGCACATACACTCATCTGTAAATAAAGATTCTCTCACTGACCTCATAGGATCATTTTAAAGATTGAGAAAACACATGTAAAACATCTAGCATGGTATCCTAGTGGACTGCTTATCAAATAGTAATGATTATATTATTTTATTTTACATTGTATTCTAAAAAAGAAGGGAGGAGAATGAACTCCAGCTTCAAGGAGAGGTTTGACAAGAAATTTGCCATTTTTATGAGAGTCTCTTTATTCCAATTCTCTTCACCCCTTCTCTTCATCCTCTGCTTTTCTAGAAAACCCGCACCCCCTGCTCTAGGGAGTCACCTGACTTGACACGGTAGACTGACTAGTACACTTCTACCACTGGCAGGAATTCTGTCCCAATTAACCAGGGCCATTTTTCATATATCGCTCACTTGTGACTTGGAATGCTTGGACTTAAATTCCACCATTATTTCCCAGTGACTCTTATTTGCTTCTTGTGTTTGATGCATTTGTCACAGGGACACCAAAGAGTCCACCAACAGCAGAGTGGAAGCTCTCCAGGAATTCTCTTTAATGGCTCTTGGCACCGTGCATGGCAACAGCACATGCATGATGGTGCAGTCTAAAAATGCCGTTGCTATCTGTTGGGATGATTTGCATAACTTGTTGATGATGCTGGGTCAGTCACGTGGCCTTTTTTGAATAGAACGCTGCATGTTTAGGTTCCTGCACACTCCCATAATACATGAGTCACCTAATGTTTTCATAGTCCTCATTAAGTACTATAGTTATGCTTGTAATATGTCTTCAACAATATGCACACCCTCGGCCATTCTACCTTTGGCCTCTTTTTCACTTGGGGCCTTTGCAAATGTGGTTTAACAGTTATCCTTTAAGATATCTGTATTCTAATTTAGTAATGGATTTAAAGGAAATTACTACATTTTTATTCTAGGCCAAAACTGCTATCCCTAAGTATGTAGCAGCCTAAGCAGCTGCCATCCCAACATCCTTCTGGATTTTTGAGCCATGTGGAGAAGTGCTGGAGTGCCTCACTGGGATGTTCACCCCACTTCTGGGAGAGTCCCCTGGAAATACACAGCCCCTGTATTATTTTCCTAGGGATGCTGCAACAAATTACCATAAGCTTGGTGGCTTAGAACAGCACAGATTTATTCTCACACAGCCCCGGAGGCCAGAAATCACGGTGTTGGCAGGGCCTTGCTTCCTTTGAAGGCTCCAGAAGAGAATCCTTCCTTGCCTCTTCCAGCTTCCGGTGCCTCCAGATGCTCCCTCACTGTGGCTGCATACCTCCAACCTGCCTTTACATCACCTTCTCCTCTCATCTGTGTCTTCTCTTCTTCTGTTTCTTAGAAAGACACTTGCCATTGGATTTAGGATAAAACAGATAATCCAGGATGATCTCTTCTCAAAATTCTTAATTACCTCTTCAAAGATTATTTTTCTAATAAGGTCACATTCACAGGTTCTGGGGTTTGGGACATGGATATATCTTTGGGGAGGGGAGCTATTATTCTACTTCCTACATTCCTGAATTGACATGCATATGCACAGGCCCCTCCCACTACTTATGGAGAGATTCCTTGTTCACTTGGACATTGAAATATTGGGGAAAATATAGGCAGCCCTTGCTGTAAAAAGGAAGGAACTCCTACCATTTGCAGTAGCCTGGATGGACCTGGAGAGCATTATGCTAAGCTAAATAAGTCAGTTGGAAAAAGATAAATATCACAGGATCTCACTCATTTGTGGAATATAATGAACAACATAAACTGACAAACAAAAAACAGATCCAGAGACATAGAAGCATCAATCAAACCTCAGAGGGAAGGCAAGGGAGAGTGGGAGTAAGGGGGAGAGATCAACCAAAGGATTTGTATGTATGCATATAAACATAACCAATGGACACAGACACTAGGATGGTGAGGGCATCAGCAGGGTGGTGGGAGGGGCAATGGGGGGATAGGACACATATGTAATACCTTAATCAATAAAAAAAATTATATATATATATATATATATATATATATATATATATATATATATATATTAGCCTTTGCCACTATCATTATTTCTATGTTCAAGGCACATTAGTGCTTTATGTTCTAACAACCTACTGAGTATTGCAGTCAACAGTGTGGTGTATCTACAAAAGCAAATCAGTAAAGGCCACCTTAGGTTGCTTTAATACACAGTCCTGGTTAAGAACGGGATTGGTGCTTATTCCACAGAATCTTGAGCCCATTAATCCACAACTAGATAAGTGTTCACTTCCAGGTGCCCTGCTTTGAAAGGGCCATTTACTACCACCTGGGATACCGAGGAAGACAGGCAACTGGCATAACTAACTACAAAAAGAAAAAAAATTAGAGAAACCACCACCAATGGTGTCTTTAGTTTGGAGGTGGGAAGGCTGTCATGTTTTGAGAAAGCGAATGTGATCTTTGTTACACTGAAAGGCAGGCCAAAGGCCAAAGGTCACAGCTGTTGGCAAACTGATGAGCTCCCCGTCACTGGAGGTGTTTCAAGCGGAAGCTGCTAGGTCATCCCTCCGGGATGCTGCAAAGAAGATTCCTGCACTTGGTGAGAATCTAAGATCCTTGCCCAACTGGAACTCTTGTGACTTCTAAAGAAATCATTTTAAAATTTCAATTACAGACTATCACATGGGAACAACAAACACCACTGTGTGCATTCCTCTTCCTTGATTGAGAAATTTGCTCAGGCTCTTTCCCCAAACCTGGACTTCTTCCCACGTGGCCAAATCCCATTTATCTTTCTCAATGTTTTCCAAGGACTTTCCTTGACTGTTCTGGGCCACACTCCACTGCTCTCTCATCCCTTTCCCTCCAACCTTGTCTTTGGCTCTTATTTTAGAAGACCATACTCATTCCATACTTACTTTGCATCCTCTTGCAATAGTTTAACATTTTTTTTCCCTATATGTATACTGTATTTTCCTAATTAGACTTAAATTCATTGAAGATGAATTGGATTCCCTGTGGGATGCTCACAGAACTTAAGACCAGTGCCTGCATGTAACAGGTGATCAATGAATACCAGTAGAATTGAAACACAAATGAAGAATGTTGATAGTGCAAATACCTTCCTCTTGTTCTTCCCTCCATAAGAGATTATCTGTTTAAAAACAAACACCATAAGCACTTCCTGAGATCCTTCTTTTAGCTTTGGGTGGAAGAACACCCTGCTTCTCCTCTGACATCAGCCTTCCCAGGTTCCTATGACAACGGTGTGCCCTAGGTCAGTGCAAAGTACTGGGCCTTCATTTTAGTCGTCGGTAGAAGGCCAGCTCTATGTGACCTTGCCGATAGACAAGGAAATGGGAGGACATCTTTTCTGGGACAGAGTTCTTACAAGCAAGCCCAAATATGCAAGGTATGCCATCACGCCCAGGGGAAAGTCAATAAAACCTGTCTGGGAAGGCAAAGCTCCTCTCCAACCAGCTGGTGAAGACCTGCCCTGGCTTCTTCAACTTGCATCTAATTGACCAGCTACTAGTTCTTGGGACTTTTCTCACATAACTAGCACCCTTGTTTTCCCCCACTTTCTGAATATCTGTGCTTTCTGCTATTGACTTCAGATGTATTTCCCTGCCTTCTTTTAATTCGATTCTCCTCTAATTTCCTGGCCATATTTTGACCTCTTTAAAGGCCGTTTATATGTTTTTTTTTTCTGTCCTTTCTGTTCTTTCTAGTGTTGGCAATGCTATACAAGCTAGTATCATTCACTGATTGCATGAATGAATCGCCTACTCTCTCTTGGAGACCATAGATTTAGGTCTTAATTAGGAGTAGAGCTAACCCTGACCTTTGCAACAGTCCATAAGCATCTGCCATCCCTCCTCTCCTCTACTTTTCCTTGGCAAAGTATATGGCGCCACCCCATGTCACCCTACCCCCCGGACCCCTGCTTCCTACTCAGGCTCTTGGCCCAAAAACATTGTTTATCCCATGTATGACTTTTTATTCAGATCACTAAAGCCCCTAATTTCTTCCTATTACAGATGTGTCTCTAAGCTAAGGAATAGGCCATTTGCCCAGCCTCTTATGTACATTAGTTCACAACCACGACTTATTTTAAGCATTTATTGTACCTAGTTAATATTGATGATTGACACATTTATCCATAATCTAAAATGTAGTTGTAAATGTATTTTGTTTAATAGAAGATAAAGTTTGCCCTAATTTTGGCAATTACTTTCCTCCCCACAATCCAACTTAGGAGTTCCAGCCAGGGCCAGGGCAATGGTTAGGCAGCCATGCCTGCTGGGTACTTATTTTAGAAAGAGAGGCCAGGCCGCCAAGGTAGTGGAACTGGGCCACTCTGTTCCTCCTGGGTGTGCTTCTGGTTTTCAGGATGGAGCTTCTGACTGTGATTGTGGTCTCTACCCTGAGGGGTGGCCCCAATCACAAGCTTGAAACCGAACTGCAGCCATTCCACCCCACATAGCTTCATTCACTTTTTACAGCATCGTCAACAACCACAAAAAATCAAGTTCAGTTTTTGCAGCAAACAATTACTTGGAGATCATTTGATTCAGGGGTTCTTAGACTTTCTGTGTTTGAGACATCCCATAAAATATTAGGTTTGGTCAAAGGGATTAAAAGACTTCGAACAACATTAAGAAAGCCAGCAAAAATTGTGAAGCAAACACAAATACAGGAGGGCAGAGACCCACACAGCTTCCATCACAGTCCACACAGTGTTCTTGCCAGAGAGAACTTTTCCACCATTTGACTGAACTTCCTTATACAGACAATCATTTGTAAACTATGGGAGGACCTGGCTTTAGATTACACTTATTTGAGGCAAGTTCTTTCTTTTCTTCCTCTTTCCTCATAAATCCTTAAGCAAACTGCTTCCCTGGCATCTCTAATAAATATAATAACCAGATGGAGCAACAATCAAACAAGACCTTGGTTAAAATTTAGCGGCACACCTGTGACAAGGTTGTATCTCTCCGTTCTGCATTGTGTGGCTGGGAACCAGGTTAGGCTGGAGGGAAATACTGAGACCCAGAGCCGTTGTTGGTAGCAGAGTCACATTCAAACCACAGTCTTGACAAACCCACTCTCTCCACTTGGGTTTCAAAAATATTAGCAGCAAGGTCATGATCAAGATGAGGAACTCACCTTCCTGTACAAAAGTGAACAAAATTGAACGGCACCAAAAATCTCAGTAACCACAATAAGTAATATTTTAATGATTATTTTAAAAAACAAAATTAGTGCAAAAAAAAATCCATGGTGAGCAAAAGATCAAATTGTATTGAAATAAAGACAGGATCAGGAAGCTAAAGTTACTTAAAAATTATTGACATTTATCAGTCAGGAGAAATTGTCAATGTCCTCAATTCAAAATAAGATAAGAAAAGAGGTAGTTTTTGAGAATATAGTTGAGGTTATTTCCTTTAAAGCCAGGAAAGTGGAACTATTTCTTAAAACTCTGCTTTTTGTATAAATAAGATATTTAAATTTAAAATGATGTTGTGATTTTTTAATATGCTTACATTTCACGTTTTCCAAATTTTTTCCACTCCCTTCATGAAACCATTAAAAAATGCACAAAAACATGTATCAGGAGACACACTTTTCCTTTTGCCTCGGGTCACAACATGAATCAGCACAGCACTAGTGGGGAAAATGTATGTTACTTAGAAATGTCTTCAGAGGATTTTTGTGAACATATTTGTCATAGGCCAAGCAGGAGTGTCCCGTAGGCATGGCTTTCGAGTAGATGGCCCTCCCCTGGATGAGGGGAGAGGTCCAAGGTGACTAATCCCCTCCAACACTTTCCCTCTTGGGCACTTGTGCATCTACTTGGGGGGTGGGGGCGTGAGGGGGGGCAGGTTGGGAAGGGGAGGGAAAAGGAGCATCTGGAGCTGCAGAGCTTCCAGTTCATTCTGTGGCCCCTTCATTAGCTGCCCTTGGCCTGCCTCTAGTTTAACTTTTTCATGAGTTTCAGTGAACATTAATCAATGTTTGAGCTCTGGGTAGGAGAAAGTATCCCTGACTTGCCATTTGTTTAAATGGTTTCCATTTCTCCTGTGTTATTTATTGTGTTGGTGAATTTTAGGACAACACGATTTATCAAAATAAAGAAGTACTTACTAACAAATGGAAAGCCCCGGATTCCCCAAATACCATTTGTTCTGGGGATCAGGTTGTACACTAGGGATTCTAACATGGAACTCTTTGGCCAATGAGGACTTTCTTCTGTTTGCATAAATCCACCCAAAGCCACTAAATACCTTTGCATTTTCTACATGGTGTTCCTAGCCCTTGGTTTTGCTTGTAAGAGCCCTAGTTTTTTACTTGCTTAACCTTGATTTTTCTATCCTCTCCGCAGCCAAGATTGCTAATAACTTTCCCTCAGGACAGAGTCTCCTGCTCAGTCTGCCACCGCCTAAGATACACTCTTAGGCTCTGGGAGTGGTTAGTTCCACTCTGTCCTGGAGTTCGGGGTTCATTCTCTCCACGCATTGTGGGAGGGACACTGATAAATCAGGGAGCTTGCAGAGGAGAGTGGACGGGCCTCTAGAAGCTTGAAACCTGAAGGAATGCCAGGTAAACCGAAGGCTGCTGAACCGAGGGGAGAACGTGGGTTCTGTCTTCAAATAATTAGGGGGCTTAATGAGCGACACATATTCTAAATCGCTCCTAAGATAATGCTGGCACCTATGGAGGGCTGGGTGAGTTCTAGAGAGGCAAATTTTTTGCTCAATATATGGACTCGCCCTCTCTAGTAGTTAATGCTTTCCAGAGGCAGAATGTTCTGTTTTATAAAGGAAAAAAGGCCTGTTGCATTTAAGGACCATCTCTCAAAGCCCCTGTTCAACCTGTAGGGTCAATAGCTACAAGGTTTCATCGAGGTTAAAGTACCAATGCAGGACAAGATGCACTTTGCCTATAAGGATGGATTCTTTTTTTTTTTCTTTCTTTTTTTTAAAGTTTTTCATTTACAGTTTACTTTTAATATTATGTTGTATTGCTTTCAGGCACAGAGCATAGTGGTTAGACAATCACATACTTTCCAAAGTGATTCTCCCGATAGTTCCAGTACCCTCCCGGCACCACACATACCAAATGGTAGTTACCGTAATATTATTGACCACATTCCCGATGCTGCACTTTGCATTCCCAGGACTGTATGGTAACTATCCGCCTTCCTTGTCAGTCCCTTCACCTCTTTCTCCCAGTCTTCCAACCCCCTCCCCTCTGACCATCAGTATGTTTTCTGTGTTTATGAGTCTGTTTCTTTTTGGTTTATTCATTTATTTTGTTCTTTAGATTCCATGTAAGTAAAATAATATGGTATTTGTCTTTCTCTGTCTGATTTATTTCACTTAGCGTAATACATACTAGGTCCATCCATTCTATCACAAAGGGTAAGATTTCATTCCTTTTTATTTCCAAAGCAATATTCCATTGTACTATGGTTTGGTTTGGTTTTGTTGTTTTGGGTTTTTTGGTTTTTTTTATCCACTTGTCTTTTGATGGGCACTTGGGTTGTTTAGGATGAATTCTTTTTCATAATATGATGTCCCATTAGTATTGTTGGAAAACCATGACTAATGCAGCTATTGAAAGGATGCTGTAGAGTTACGTTTTGTCCTTTTAGTATGAGGAAATTGTCAGTGCAGCAGGCCAAATGATAAGTTTCTCCATAGCCTTTCTAGTGAGTATCTGTTTTACTCCAGTGTCTTCATCAGATAACCATTGTCTGTAATGCCAGTGAGCATTTAAAGGAGAGTCAGAGGGACCATAGCACACCAGGGACTCCATTGTTCTGGGATCTCATCTCTGAAAAAAAAAAAAATTCTACCTCCAAACAGGCTGTACTCCAAAGGCTGTTTTATTTTTCCAACGGATTTTTAAAAATATATATTTTACTTATTTAAAAGAGGCAGAGAGAGGGAAAGATAGAAAGAAACATCAATGATGACAGAGAATATCTGATCAGTTGCCTCCTACATGCCCCTTACTGGGGATGGGGCCTGCAACCTAGGCTTGTGCCCTGATCAGGAATCGAACCCTGTCCTCCTGGTTCAACCACTGAGCCACACATCTCTAAAAACCTCAGGCTTCTAGTCTACCCCAAAGCAGAGGTAGAGGAGAAAA